ATGCGTCCCGCACACCCATTTCGGCACACCCCTCATACGTTTCGTGGCCCCACAGGGAGCTCACCGAAGGCCCCAGTGCTGCCGTCCGCATGCGTCCCGCACACCCATTTCGGCACACCCCTCACACGTTTCGTGGCCCCATAGGGAGCTCCACCGAAGGCCCCATGGATGCCGTCCGCATGCGTCCCGCACACCCATTTCGGCACACCCCTCACACGTTTCCTGGCTCCACAGGGAGCTCCACCGAAGGCCCCAGTGCTGCCGTCCGCATGCGTCCCGCACACCCATTTCGGCACACCCCTCACACGTTTCGTGGCCCCATAGGGAGCTCCACCGAAGGCCCCATGGCTGCCGTCCGCATTCGTCCCGCACACACATTTCGGCACACCCCTCACACGTTTCGTGGCCCCACAGGGAGCTCCACCGAAGGCCCCAGTGCTGCCGTCCGCATGCGTCCCGCACACACATTTCGGCACACCCCTCACACGTTTCGTGTCCCCATAGGGAGCTCCACCGAAGGCCTCATGGCTGCCGTCCGCATGCGCCCCGCACACCCATTTCGGCACACCCCTCACACGTTTCGTGGCCCCATAGGGAGCTCCACCGAAGGCCCCAGTGCTGCCGTCCGCATGCGTCCCGCACACCCATTTCGGCACACCCCTCACACGTTTCGTGGCCCCACAGGGAGCTCCACCGAAGGCCCCCATGGCTGCCGTCCGCATGCGTCCCGCACACCAATTTCGGCACACCCCTCACACGTTTCGTGGCCCCATAGGGAGCTCCACCGAAGGCCCCATGGCTGCCGTCCGCATGCGTCCCGCACACCCATTTCGGCACACCCCTCACACGTTTCGTGGCCCCACAGGGAGCGCGTGCCGACATGGGCGTCGCGGCGCACGGGCGCTGCCGTCGGGGTTCCCAGGGAAGCCCCCTGCAGAGGCGACGCTCAGAGTCACGAGTACCGAGAGTCACGCAGACCCAAACTGTTCACAGTCGTATACATACATTTACACTGGGCGTATCCATGCACGCATTCATGCGAATAGAATCAATCGCGCGCTGATTCATTCATAATCAGACTCGCTCGCGATCCGACTCGCACGCGCTCAAGCTTTCATATTCGGACCTATCGTCTTCGTTCGTGTTGTGTACACTGCCACGCATTTCGGCACACCCCTCATACGGCTCGTGGCCCCATAGGGAGCGCCACCGAAGAAGATATTCACAATTGCGGTACTCTCAACTGCATATGGTTGGGTCCTTCGCCAGGCTAATTTTTTCGGGGCAAGAGGGGGGTGTCCAAGAGGGGGGGTTGCAAATCATGACCGGCGGCATGTGCGCGGCCCGACGGGGGGGGGCCAGGGACGTCATGGAATAAGAAGAGGCGTCATGAAATCTGGGGAAGTAGCATGGCCCCCGCCATGATATCCCCCCCCCTAGTCATCACCCCCCTCTTTGCCGCCCCCGACTTTTGACTCTTTTCGCATCTCCCTCCTGTAGAGGAGGAGGAGGAGGAGGAGGAGGAGGAGGAGGAGGAGGAGGTAGAGGAGGAGGAGGAGGAGGAGGAGGAGGAGGAGGAGGAGTAGGGAGGAGGAGGAGGAGCAGGGAGGAGGAGGAGGAGGAGAGCAGGGGAGGAGGAGGAGGAGGAGGAGGAGGAGGAGGAGGAGGAGGAGGGGTCAGGCCCGACCTACGTCTCAGCGGCGGGCCGGCGGCGCGCCGCGTGCTTCCGCCGCCGCCCGCCCGCCGTCAGGCCCCCGCGGCACGGGCCGCCGCCGCCCTGCTCCTCCGCTCCTCCGCTGGCCCTCCGCTGGCCCTCCGCCCGGTGGGGGGGCATGGCGCGGCGCGCCGAGCTCGCGGCGAGGCCCTCCCCGGAGAGTCACCTCCGACGCCCTGCTACAGGGCAGTTTTCAATGCATAGGATGTTTTTAAATATCGGATTTTTCATGCATGATTAACTTATGAATACATGTATGCATGAATTCACCTTTGTTTCGAATAGTAAAGCCCTGTACTTTCAATACATGATCCGCACGCGGAGCATGTATTCGAAACGGCACTGCTGCTTCTTGCAGGGCGGGCCCCCCGAAGTCCTGGCCCGTGCCCCCGGGGGCGGCTCTTCATCGCGACTGCTGTTATTATTGACGGTCCCCTGGAGCCCGGTGAGCCCCGCGAGGCTGGAGGCTGGCACAAAAGCCTTCGCCGTGGAGCCCGAGCGCCCCTTTATCGTGTGCGCGCGGGGCGAAACTCAGGTCGGGCCTGTTCCCCTACAGGCCGATCTTCGAGAAAAAATAGGATAAGTCCAAAAATATAAGATATTTCAAAATGGTAAAACCCTCACAAATTAGCCTGGCGAAGGACCCAACCATATGCAGTTGAGAGTACCGCACTTGTGAATATCTTCTTCGGTGGCGCTCCCTATGGGGCCACGAAACGTGTGAGGGGTGTGCCGAAATGGGTGTGCGGGACGCATGCGGACGGCAGCACTGGGGCCTTCGGTGCGAGAGCCCTATGGGGCACGAAAACGTGTGAGGGAGGGTGTTGCCGAAAGGGTTCGTGCGGGACGCATGCGGACGGCAGCACTGGGGCCTTCGGGAGCTCCCTATGGGCGCCACGAAACGTGTGTGAGGGGTAGTGCCGAAATGGGTGTTGGGGAGGCATACGAACCAGGCCACTGGGGCCTTCGGTGGAGCTCCCTATGGAGCCACGAAACGTGTGAGGGGTGTGCCGAATGGGTGGTGGGGAGGCATGCGGACCCTGCCACTGGGGCCTTCGGTGGAGCTCCCTATGGGGCCACGAAACGTGTGAGGGGTGTGCCGAAATGGGTAGTGGGGAGGCATGCGAACGCAGCCACTGGGGCCTTCGGTGGAGCTCCCTATGGGGCCACGAAACGTGTGAGGGGTGTGCCGAAATGGGTGTGCGGGACGCATGCGGACGGCAGCAATGGGGCCTTCGGTGGAGCTCCCTATGGGGCCACGAAACGTGTGAGGGGTGTGCCGAAATGGGTGTGCGGGACGCATGCGGACGGCCGCACTGGGGCCTTCGGTGGAGCTCCCTGTGGGGCCACGAAACGTGTGAGGGGTGTGCCGAAATGGGTGTGCGGGACGCATGCGGACGGCAGCCATGGGGCCTTCGGTGAGCTCCTATGGGGCCCCCGAAACGTGTGAGGGCGACATGTGCCGAAAATGGAGTGTGCGGGAACGCAGCGGACGGCAGCCCATGGGGCCTTCGGTGGAGCTCCTATGCGGGCGGTGGAGCTCCCTATGGGGCCACGAAACGTGTGAGGGGTGCGCCGAAATGGGTGTGCGGGGCGCATGCGGGCGGTCGCACTTGGGCCTTCGGTGGAGCTCCCTATGGGGACACGAAACGTGTGAGGGGTGTGCCGAAATGGGTGTGCGGGACGCATGCGGACGGCAGCCATGGGGCTTCGGTGGAGCTCCCTATGGGGCCACGAAACGTGTGAGGGGTGTGCCGAAATGGGTGTGCGGGACGCATGCGGACGGCAGCACTGGGGCCTTCGGTGGAGCTCCCTGTGGGGCCACGAAACGTGTGAGGGGTGTGCCGAAATGGGTGTGCGGGACGCATGCGGACGGCAGCATGGGGCCTTCGGTGGAGCTCCCTATGGGGCCACGAAACGTGTGAGGGGTGTGCCGAAATGGGTGTGCAGGACGCATGCGGACGGCAGCACTGCTTCGGTGAGCGGGGGCCACGAAACGTGTGAGGGGTGTGCCGAAGGGGGTGTGCGGGACATGGCAGCCTGGGGCCTTCGGGGGAGCCCCATGGGGCCACGAAACGTGTGAGGTGTGCCGAAATGGGTGTGCGGGACGCATGCGGACGGCAGCACTGGGGCCTTCGGTGGAGCTCCCTGTGGGGCCACGAAACGTGTGAGGGGTGTGCCGAAATGGGTGTGCGGGACGCATGCGGACGGCAACCATGGGGCCTTCGGTGGAGCTCCCTATGGGGCCACGAAGCGTGTGAGGGGTGTGCCGAAATGGGTGTGCGGAGGAGAGAGGAGGAGAGGAGGAGAGGAGAGGAGAGGAGAGGAGAGGAGAGGAGGAGGAGGAGACGCGGACCACCGTCTCTTCAAAACGAGGACCCAACACCACAGGATGGTTGGGAAAAAAACAATGTTTGGACTATGTTTGAATATTCCTCCTGTAAAGGGACGCGCCCGACTCACGGCTAAACGTGCGACGTCGGTGACGTTCGCGGCGACGACCACGCGGCTCTGGGGCTGGGGCCCCCCCTGGACGCCCCAGGCCTGGCCGAACTCGAGCAGGTCGCGGGTGGGTGGGCGCTGGGGCGCGAAGGCAGGAGAGCCCAGAATCGAATCGACAAGTCGGATCGGCGAACGAAATGAGTCGAATCGGCGGAAATCGGCAGCCGAGTCGGGAAAAGTCGAATCGGCAGAAATCGGCAGGCTAGTAGGCCTCCAGTAAGGAATTGGACCCCAAATCGGAATCCCAAGTCGAATCGAATCGGAATCGGAAGCCATCCAAATCGAATCGAATCGAATCAGAGGAATCGAAGCGAGCCTTGCGAAGGTGGCCGCGGTCCGCGCAGGCTCAGCGCCCAGAAGAGGCGAGAGCGCGTGCCGGGAGCCACGGACGCCCACGCGGTGGCACCAGGAGCAGGCGCAGACACGCACCGACCGATGCAGACCGATGGGCGGGGGCAGCACAGCCCAGGAGGACGCACAGCGGCGCGGCAGCCCACCAGACCGAGCCGACCCGACGCGGCCAACTACGAAGCAGCCGAGCCGACCAAACGGCGGACGCCCCTGTCCGCCATGGAGCAGATGGGTCCCCAGGAAAGCGGGCCCCGACTGTCATGTCGCCGCTCTTGGCCTGCATGGGGCTCCACGGGCTCAGGGAGTGTCCGAATTCGACTCAGGCAGCTCCTGGGGGACCCCCCTGGGTCCAAGACACCCGTTTCCTTCACCGTTGCCCGCGGACATCACGGGCACGTTCGCCGGCGACGACGACGACGGACGTACGACGGACGATGTGCGACTGACGTCGATGACGGACAACTGACGATGCACGTATGACTACGACGGACGACGGATCACGTCGACGACGACACGGACGACGCACGTCGTCGTCGGCGACGACTGCGACTACCACCGTCGCCGCCACGATCCCCACAGCGGCGACGGCGACGACCGACGTCGCTTGGGGGTCTCCGCAGTGGGGATGCCCCCGCGGGCTTCCGGGGAGGTAGGGGGAGGTATGGGGCCAGAGAGCGGCCCCAGAAACCTCGGGCCTCGGGTCCTCGGCCGTAGACGACAGCGACGGCAGACGACGACGACGACGACGACGACGACGACGACGACGACGACGACGACGACGACGACGACGACGACGACGACGGCGGCGGCGGCGGCGGCGGCGGCGGCGGACGACAACGACGACGACGACGACGACGATGACGCCAAGGACGGCGCCGCCGCCGACGCCGACGATGACGAAGACGACACGGCGTGGCCCCCTCGCGGCGCCAAGGCTCACGCGGCGCCCCGCGCGAGCAGTGGGCCCGATGCGCCCCCGCGTCGAGGCGACCGCGACGGAACACAAACAAACAAACAAGCAGACAGACAGACAGGCAGACAGGCAGGCAGACAGGCAGGCAGACGGACAGACGGACAGACGGACGGACAGAAGACTAACAAACAAACAAGCAAACAAACAAACAAACAAACAGACCACACAGTGCGACGGGGCGCTGGGGACTCTGTGGGCTCGGGGCCGTCCTTTATGGGGCCTCCTGGTGGTCTCGTCGCTGCCGCCACAACTGGCCTCGCCGCGCCTCAAGGAGGCCCTTCCTGGACGCCCCTCGTCCTTTTTCAAGGGCCTCGCGAGGCCTCTGGAGGAGGAGGAGGAGGAGGAGGAGGAGGAGGAGGAGGAGCGCGGGTACTTTCAGCGCGGCGGGAACCCCAAAAATGACCGGCGCTTCAGCGCGAGCAGCGTCAGCGAGAGGACCTTCAGCGTGACATCGAAACGGGCCTACATCGCCCGGCCAACGAATTACAACCGCTGGTAACTCTGCCTGGAAAAAGCTGCATTAAGCAACGGCTGTCTCGTCCACGACCCAGTGGGTCGTGAAGCAGCGAAAGTTAGCGACTGCGACCCCTCTCTTCCATCTCCCCCCTATCCCTGTCGTCTCGCACCCTCCCCTTGCCCGATCCCCACCCTCCGTCGGACCCGAAAATTGTGGCACGCCAGTCCGGGACGATCCCTGGGGGCATCCCTGTTGGAACCTCTTGGCCAGGCCAGAGGATCCGAACTTCACACGACGACGCAATGACACCTCGGGCTGGGCACGACGCAGGCGTGCCGCGCGTACTCGCGCAGACTGCGGCCATCCTCCAGTATATACATTACACCATGGGCGCGGTCGGGGTGAAGGCGACGACGCAAATCACGCGGCGCCGGTCCACCCGTCCAGGGAGGGAGTGCATGGTTAGCCGCACTCGCGTGTGTACCTGTCCAGAGAGGGACGGCGCACCAATGAGAATACCAGACCCCCACGCGTCATGAACAGACCACGACGGAAGATTTCATGAAACTTGTGGCAACGAGATGTGGAGCCAGTCCTGGGGAGGTGATCGAGACCACTCGGAGTCCAAGCTGCAAATAAGCCACGACGCCAGGGGGGTGGGAACATCGAGCATCAACTCGAATTATGCCTGGTGCGCCTCGAGGCGGCGCTCCCCTCGAACAAAAAAAAACGCGCGTCGCGGGTGATAACCGCTGCGGACACGCGTCCGGACCTAGCCACGCCCAGGCGGTGAGGCCGTGGCCTGCAGATCCTGCCGGGTGCTGTGTGGACGTGGGGCCATGCTCGACAGACAGCACCAGCTGCGCCTTACTTGCACGCAGCTTCCCAGCTCCTAAAAAAGACTCTGACGGGCGACGCTGATTTACGGGGCGTGAAAACGACCACAGCCACTGCTTTTCTTTTGTTGCCGCCTTCCAGCCCGCAGAAACAAAGCAGTGGTTGTGGTCATTTTCGTTGAGCTTGGCACCAGGGAAATGACCACAACCACTGCTTCTTTTTCGGCCGGCTGGAAGGCGGCGCAAACAAGACGCAGTGGCTGTGGTCATTTTCCCGTCCCGCATGATTCCAGCCACTAGGGATGCGTAATCGGTTCCCAAAGGGTGCGGGTGCGGCCCGCGAGGATACCGAGGCCCCCCAAAGCTACGCGCGACAAGCGGCCTGCCAACGATACACTGAAACTCAGCCGCTGGCAGTCACGGCAGGAAGTCCGAATTGATCGCGACTGAGAAAACGCCCGGCCGTTGGCAATAGCTCACCAGCTCTGGGCTGCGCGCTGCGGCGCTCCAAAAGCAGCTCCACCGACGAAAGCCACCGAGTACGCAGGAGGATCATAGGGGAGGGGAGAAACTGAGGGAGGGCAGACAGGAAGGCTGGGCAAGCAGTGCGACCGAGACATAAATACACAGAGAGAGAGAGAGAGCGATAGAGAGAGAGAGAGAGACAGGTTGAGTGCACATAAATTTGCGCCATACAGGCGACGCGCACCCGACGTTGCCTTCTCCCCGACCTCCTCCTCCTCCACCTGGATCTCCTCGAGTAGCCTCACCTCCGGTCCCCCCCCTCTCGAGCCTGCCCCGCCCTGGGGGGGGGGCTCTCGGGACCTCCTCCTCCCCGCGGGGCGGGCGACAACGGGCTACTGTCTCGGAGGGCCTCCGTGGCGGGGAACTCCACGCCACGCAGGAGCCCCCCCCAGACTGAGGAGCCACGAAAACCGTCGGGAGTGGCCCTCTCGCTGGGCCCCCCTCCCTGGGCGCGCGGAGCGCAGGGAGGAGGAGGCAAGAGGGGGGGGGGAAGATGGGGAGGTGGAGGGAGAGGGGGAGGTGGAGGTGGAGAGGGGGGAGGCCACGAGGAGGGGGGGAGATGAGGTGGAGGTGGAGGAGAGGAGAGGGGGAGGTGGAGGTGGAGAGGAAGGAGAGGGGGAGGTGGAGGAAGAGAGGCAAGAGGGGGGGAAGGAGGCAAGAGGGGGGGAAGAGGGGGAGGTGGAGGCGAGAGGGAGAGGAGGGAGGCCACGCGCAGCAGAGCGGAGGGGGGAGGGCCCGCGGCCACAGAGGCCCACGATAGGGGAGCCACAGAGCGCGGGCCGCCGCGCAAAACCGGAGGAGGAGGAGGAGGAGGAGGAGGAGGAGGAGGAGGAGGAGGAGGAGGAGGAGGAGGAGGAGGAGGAGGAGGAGGAGGGGGAGGAGGAGGAGGAGGGGGGGGAGGAGGAGGAGGAGGAGGAGGAGGAGGCGGAGGAGGAGGAGGAGGAGGAGGATGTGACAGGATCAAAACCTCCCAGGACGTTGAAACCGCAGCGCGAGAACGCACCACGTCGGAGGTCGGGAGCGCCAGGCGCACGGTGTGGCGACCTTCTCAGGGGCCGCGTATGCCCTCCAGGCCTCCCGAGAGTGGAGTGCCTTTTGAGAGGCCGAACCCGCAAGCTCGGACTCTCTTGCTCGAAGCTGACTGGGCACCCTCGTCGAAACTGATGCTGATCCGTGAGCCAGATCCCGGTCTCCAGCCAGCCAGCGGGTGAGAATGATGACTATGAGGAGGATGGATGGTGACGGCGGAGGAGGAACAAGAGGACGAGGATGTGGAGGAGGATCTTACATGATCTCTGAAACCCCCGCGCGGAAGCTGGATCAGGACCTCACCGGAGCACCAGAGAGATTATCTGCACTCGTGCAGTCAGTCCCTGCAACCCGCAGGTGCGACCCGACCAGGGCGAATGTTGTGACGGCGGGGTGGCCCCGTCCACGAGATGTCCGCGAGGCCGATGGTGCCCGTGTCCATCTCCTTCAGAAGCAGCTCGTGCCTCGTCACCATCGCGGGGTACTTCCGCAGGACTCGGGCGAACGCCTCCCAGTTCAGCACCGCCAGCTCCGAGAACTCCTGCGCGATGAGGCTCGCGGTGCGCACGTGCTGCCTGCTCACGACGCAGGACTCGCCGAACCAGGCCCCCCTGCCCATGATCCTCCTCCCGCCGGCGGTGCTGCCCGTGGCCAGCGCGGGCGCGGCGTCGCCGGAGGAGCTGCCGGCGGAGCGGGCGGTGCCGAGGTCCCCGGAGGAGCCGCTGGCGAGGGTCCACAGGGTCCTCGAGTGCGAGGTCCCAAGTCGAGCCGTCGTCGAAAGCGAAGACCGCTCCCTGGCCTTGGCCATTTCCTCTACGGGCACGTCCAACTTGTCCGGCCAGGAGACGCTGAAGCGGGCCACCACCGACCCGTTGACGACGAAGGCGAGGTCCTGGACAAGCTGCCCGGCCTCTCCCACCAGGTCGCCAGCGGAGCAGTTCACGAGCAGGTGAGCTTGGGCCATCTCTGCCACGAAGGAGTGTATAGCCCCAGTGAAGAGTGGGAAGCGGCCGATTGTGCCGTTCAGGATCGCGAAGGAGAACGTGCGCTGGAGCGCCGGCGAGAGGCGGACGAAGAGCTCGGGGTCCAGCGGTGAGACGCTGTCCTCGCTGCTGAGCACCTGGCGCAGGCTGCGCTCCACCCGGCGCTGCAAGCCCAGCGGCACGCGGTGGCGCACCATGAACCGCGACATGGCGGACACGGAGCTCTCCAGCTTCTCGTCGAAGATCCTCCCCAGAACATTGGTGAGCGCTGCAACCACGCTCCCGAAGAAGATGGGGGAGAGGAACATCACGAAAATGGCGAACACCCTCGCGATGGTGTTGTACGGGTGGATGTCGCCGTAGCCCACGGTGCTCAGGGTCATAGTCACCCAGTACAGATCGCTCACGTACATGTGCCACAAGTGGTCGCCATCGCAATAAAGATCTGGACTGCCTTGGCCAGCCCCTGACGTGATTGGCGAGTCGATGTCGCACTGCACCAGACGCCAGAAGCACGTCATGCTGTGCGTCATCAGCAGGAGCATGAGGCCCCACTTCAGAGGCGACAGAACATGAACCTGGTGCTGCTTCTGGACCATCGATATCAACGGTGCCAACCTCGGCGTCCGCAGCAACTTAAGGAGCATGCACGTGGTGAAAGCTGCCCTGACATCGGGGACGAGGCAGGCTGGCCATGCGCAGAGCAAGTCCAAGAGCAGCCAGGTGCGCGAGTAATGCGCCGCTATTTGCCAAGCGTCCACGATCACGGACCCCCCCTTGTCGTAGATTGCGCTGCGAAAGACGGTCACCACGAAAACGAGCCACAAGGCGTCCGCGACGTGCATCGGAACCGACACAACCGGAGACATCCCACCGCCGTGGAAGTACGCAAGGACGATCGGGCTCAGCAGCCCGGTGTAGACGATGGCAATGATCATCAATGTGGCCAGCGCGACGTGTACCCGGCTGTCGGCCGCAAGCATGAGACGAGGCAGGTTCACCTCGTCGTCCAGGAGGGTACTGCCCTCGCTGAGGCTCGCCGCCCGCGCGACGTCCTCGGTCCTGCCCCGGAGCAGCGAGTTCACCTTGGACACTTCCGACGCCCAGCTGGGAGCCATGCTGCTGCGGGGCCGCAAGCGGCCCGAGGTGTCCGTGTCGTGGCGCGCCAGCTGGGCGCTGCCGGGCAGGGGCAGCGACGAGGTGCCCGTGACCTTCGACGAGAGCCGCGCCGGGGCACCGCGGATGCTCTCGCAGCTCAGCCACGGCAAGCTGTTGTCGGTGGCGTCGCTCTTCGTGCTCGTCATGCGGCGCACGGGCAGGCTCGCCTCGGACTCGGTGTGCGAGGCCCGCGAGGCGTCCGAGCAGACCTTCCCCGCCGACGCACGCGAGCCGTCCGACGACATCTTCCCTGCAAGAGGGCCGGCGATCGGAAGCCTGCACCTGAGGGAAGACGTCCTCCTGACGTCCACCTTAGACGCGTCGATGCACTCGCTGGACGCGTCAATGCACTCCACATCCCTGTTGGGCTGCTCCTTCGCGTCCTCCTCCGCGATGGTGGCCCAGCTCTTGTCGGGCGGTTCGTCGAGGGACGGGTCATGCGCTGGGAGGTCATGGACGCCATCGCTCGTCGCGTGGGCCGGCTCGACGTGCGCACATGGGCCTGAGCGCCGCGAGCAGCCAGAGAGACGAACGAGGGACTCGGTGAGTCGCGGAGGTGCATTCCAAGCCGAGGTAGAAATCGTGGAACAGTTTTTCTCGTTCCGACCAGAGTTAAAGGACTGGGAGATGTGGCTCATGATGTCGGCACCGCCGTGCCAGGCGCTCAGCCTCGTGGCACCCCACGACGGCCGCATGGAAGAGCTCTGAGACGCCCTCTTGGGGGAATCGCAGCTCTCAAGACCCGCACGATGGATAGCCTCCATGACGAGCCCGAAGTTCTTTTGCTGGCTCTCCAGCTGGCCCTCCAAGCGCGAGGAGGCAACCTGCAGCGCCTTGAGGCGCGCGTCGATCGACGCGAGGACGCCCTCGGCCGCCTGGCCCCCCTCGGGCGCCTCGGTGCGGCTGCCGCTGCTCGCCCAGCTGTCGCTCTCGGAGGCCCTGCAGCCGCCGTCGGGCACGGGCGTCGCCCCCGGCAGCGCGCTCTCCATGGCAGGGGCAGGCCGCCGCCGCCGCGCGTCGCCGATGGCTGGGCCCCGGGGGAGCGGGCGAGGGGTGTGTGCACGCGGCGCCCCCGGAGCTCGGGGCAGCAGCGCGGCCTCGGAGCAGAGAGCCTGCGGGAGCCAGAGCGGCCCGAGCGCTGCGCCCCGCGCCCCGCGCCCCGCGCGGCGCTCTGGCCTGTCCTCTCAAGGGGGCCCCTGGGACGCACAGATAAATACGCACAAATACAAGGAGGCCGCCTATATTCTCCCATACTTTCGGGGTGCTTGTCTTCCCCCCCGCTTCCCATAGTTTCCTATATTTTCGGTGGAGCCGCCGATGACTTGTGCCTGTGTGCTTCGTTTCCTCCCGGTCCTCGCGCCCTCGCCGCCACCGCCCCTCTGGAGCAAAAACAGCAGTCGCTCCGGCCCAGTCCGCCACGCGCCGCGCGCGAAAAGAGCGCGCCTGCCGTCGCGCCCTCCGCCCGCGGGCGACCCGGCGACCAGAGCTCCGGGGACCTCCGCCGAGGGGGTCGGAGGATTGCGCTGCATCGCGTGGGCGTTGCCTACATAGACGAGCGCGTTCCACTACTCGCAAGGTGACCACTCGCAGATGGCCCGGATCCTCCGCGGAGGATCTACGACAAATTGCACAAAGTCTGACGTATGGTTGTCGGACGTTTGCGAGTAGGCACTTTGCGAGTAGTGGAACGCGCTCGGCGACAAAAGGGGAGGGGGTAGCGAGAAAGAGGGGGTGGGAGGGAACCGGGACCTCTCGTGCCTCTTTTGGGCCCCGGGGGCCCCTTAGCGCACAGGAAAGGGACGCCTGTCTTCACCCCTTCCTTGATCGACCCCCCCTGTTACGCAACGCCCGATGCATCGGCGCGCCTGGATGGAAAGAAGCATCGGGCTCCTTCAGCGTGCCGCGTCGCTGGCACATGGGCGATACGGCCGACCAACCCTGTATGGGAGGTATGGCCACTCGAAGTGCTGGTCAGAATGTGCTCCAAGGTATGTCGGGGGTCGACTGTGAGGGAAATGGGGCCCTGACATTAGGGAGTCGCAAACAAAAAACGATGGGCGATCACGCCCCGCTTATGTAAGACCCCCGGGCCGTTATGCCGGATCGTTCCAGGTCGGGACATGTCGCACGCATCTGTATCGGATCGAGGACTCTGGCCTGAATCTGTTTCAAGACGTTGTGTGTGTTGTTTGTTCCACGACGTCGGATGTCGGGGCGACGCCACATGGACCGCACGCACGACGAGGTCGACACGAACCCGCACTGCGGCACGCGGCACCACAGGGCGCCACAAGCGGGGTTCGACGGGGACGAGAGTTGACTGGCCTCAGCTTGGCAGCATGATCTTTTGCTAAGGACTGCTCGCCAAATCGACTTTTAAATTCTTGTTGGCCACTTCTTCGATGAAGCGGACGGTGACGAATTCGGCCCAAGACTCAAGATGTCCGTCCCTGCCGTGGTGAAGGAATCCAAGATGGCCTCCGACGGGAGATAGCACCAACGCCAAAAACGGATGAGTAAGAAATATGCTCCAATGATCCATAACGTTACGTGAAACCGCTATAGGGTCATCGACGGCATTGATGAGTAGAGTCGGTACGCTGATCTTCGAGATGACGTCCATGGGGTTCGAGCGGCGGTGAAAGTCGTGGCAGCTGCCTGCATCACGCTCATGTCCAAACAATCCTTTTCCAGTGAAGGGGGTGTGGGCCACACAAAACGCATGCACATTTTCAGCTTGTGCGCAACGTGCGAAAGCTTCAGGATCCGCTGCTTCCAATATCTCACGGTTCTCGTACAAGAAGTAGCGCTTCAATTTTGCAACAAGCGTGGAGGCAAACGGTTGCTCTATGCGGGCGAGTGCAACACCAGCTTCGAAACCAAAGCATATCCCAACTGCTCCAGCTATGTTGGCTGGAAGCCGCTCGGCTTCATCGCCCAAATATCTGATCAACAACGCGGAGCCCATACTGGCACCTACTAAACCGATCTTGGCTTCTGGGTAGCGCAAGCAACAGACATCGATCGCCTGCCTCAAGTCGGGAACCGATCCTGCGATCGAGAACTGCGCAGTTGTCAATGGTTGAACGTGGCCTCTGCGGTTCACGGCAACAAATCTCACGCCCACCCGTCTGCATACTGAAACAAAACCGTGGGCTTGCCGGGAACAGCCGGTCAGGGTCGGCAAGAAAATCAAGATGGGCGCATCTGGAGGCAGCGTGTCCTCTGGCATGCTGAAGTCAATCGAGAAGAGTCCTCCATCGCAGCCCTTCAGAATCTCCCGCCTGTGCTGGTATGGGCGAGGAAAAACATTCATCCTCAGGTGGCAGACGACAGTCTGCAAAGATCCACCAGGCAACCACCACACAGGCGCGAAACCTTCTGCCGCACCGCACTCGAAAACGAACGGAGCGACAGCTGAGCCTGGGCTACACACGATTTGTGGATACTGTTGCTGCGCTTTGTATACAACCCAAGCAGAAGCACATGCCATGCCACCACCTGAAGCTGCTAGTAACCATTTCCGCATGGTGGGTTCCGCTCGGCGAACTAACATCGACATAACACATCGACTGCCGAAGCGAACCGCGCAATGAACACCGCTTGCTTCGAACCGTTGACACGGCAATCGACTGCAATACGATGCATGCGCATACATAACTGTGTCTGCAGCGGGTGAGCCCGCTTGCCCCCTTCTGGGGGCTCCAAACTGTGCGGTCATCGCTGGAAAACCGTCCTGCTCTTGCCTTCTGATTGTTCTCACCCTTGTCTCGTCTCCTCCCTCCCGTCTCCTGTCGCTCAATGCCTCCCGCTAGGGAGCCCGCGCCGTCGAACATTACACTTGGAGGAATCTACTCTTAGCGTCCTGGCTGCCGCAGGCAATTTCATGGCACGCCACTTGTCGGTCAAGACGGCACAAGGGGCCTCCAGGATGGCCCCAAGGGACCCCCAAACCCCGAGAGCCCAAGAGGCCCAAACATGCGGCCACGACAGCATGGTTCTCAATACGGTTTAACTGTCGCCCGCATTGCTTTTGTGAGAGGTCTAAGGCTGCTCTGGAACAGACCCGAGCGTGCCCAACATGGCAGAATGACTCCTCAAGGTTGCCCCGAAGTGGCCCCCAGAGGCCCCAAGAGGCCCCAGAGGCCCCAACTTGCCACACGACTGCACAGGAAGGCCCCAGGAGGGTCTCGAGTATGCCTCGATTCAAGGGGCACAAGGACACACACATAAATACACACAAATAAAATGATGCCGCATATTTTCTCATATTTTCTGTGGTGTTGTCTTCCCCCCACTTCCCATAGTTTCCCATATTTTCAGTGGAACCGCCGATGAATTGTGCCTCTGTGTTTCTTTCCCCCTGAGAAGGCCCCAGGAGGGTCTCGAGTACGCCTCGATGCTGCCCAGTGGCGGCTCGGCCTGGCGTGCCAGCGGCAGAGGAGGATGCCCTCCTGACAGCAGAGGAGCACTGGCCATCGCTCGGACGTCCATTCCCCGTGCTTTTTTCCGTTTCGTGCGTGGTATTTTCGTCAAATGGTCCAGGATGCTCCTCGATGGTCCTCGCCGAAGGAAAAGTGCACACGTCCGAGCGATGCCAAGAGCACTGGCAATAGCACGCTGCTGTATCCCATCAGAGCGATCGATCCCAGATGTCTCCACGGATGGCTCCATTTTGTTTGTGAGCACTGCCTGGCCTGCGCGTTCAGTCAAGCTGCCAGGTCGAAAGCACGGCACAGCATGCGCGAGGGTGTTTGCAGCCAAGTTTGACCATCCCATCATGGTATCATCTGTTCTCCCACGCGTTCGGTGACTGGCAACAGCCGCCGACTTCGGGTTTGGGAATCGTATGCGGATTCTCGGCCAACGTACGCTCACATCAGATGTGCTCACCTACTGCTTGAGATGAGCACGGCATGTTGTTACTCCACCTGGGGGAACCACCACCGAAAACATGCTCGAACACGCGGCAATGATGTCCGCACTAGCCTTGGCCAGCCCGCATGCCAGGAGAAACCGCACTAGCCTTGGCCAGCCCGCATGTAAGCCTGGCCTGCTTACGAATCATCTCTGTCTTCCACGAATGCAGATCGATACGGCACATTTGCAAAAACCTGAGCCTGCCTCTTGCAACGCACACGTGCAAGGCGATCATAAACGGGTCTTCCGCGAGATGGCATAGCGACCGTACGCCGCAGCCGACGTTGCCCCCTCAGCGCGGCACGCTGCGCTGGAAACGAGGACGCCTACGCGCGACCTTCCTCGGGCAACCTACGCGCCAACGTTGACACAGTCGAGCCCATTACTTCTGCGTCGCACGCATGAGAGAGCGCGGATCGACGAGCGCGTTCCACGACTCACAGATGTAACTACTTTCGAAATGGCCGGGATCCGCCGTTGGGGATCCACGATCAATTTCATCGGAGCAGACATGTGCTTTTCGGACGTTTGCGAGCAGGCACTCTGCGAGTGGTGGAACGCGCTCGGTGAGAAGGGCCCCCTGGTTCCGTCCGCCCCCTCAGGAGGACGGGCAAGGCGAAGCCACTCTATCATTGAAGTAGGAAGGCGCTCAAAGTATATTCGATTCTGCGAATCCAAAAACAGCTACTTTCAACGACCGATGGGTACAGCCACCTGGTTTTAGGTCGGGCATGTCCCTCTACAGGCGGATTTTGGAGGACAAAATGAGCATACTCGCAAAATGTTCTAAGCAATATCCAAACATCGTCCCCAGGATATTGTTTGACTATTTTCAATGTTTGGA